TACAGGAATGTTTTCTTTTACAGGTATCCATGGGCGCAAGAAGCTTTTGATAAAGCAAAGAAAGAGAATAAACTGATTTTTCTCTCAGGTTGGTTCCCTCAACAATTGCATTCATATACATATATTAGACATGTTCCAACAGGTCACTTGTTTCAAGCAAACACTATTTGGAAGCTGTACTAGCACAACGTCTCAAATAACACATTGTTTAGTCCCTGTTCTGATGCAATTCGAAAACGAGGACTTATATTTTGACCTTCGTGCGTCTGTATGTTCGTGCGTACGTCCAGACATGTCGGAACGATTCTAGAGCCATGTCGGTTTGGTAAAATTGATATCATTACTGAGTCATCATTATTGGGCTCAATCTATATGCACTGTAAACGTTTTCTCACAAACCAGTCCCACTGTAATAGTAAAAATGGGTCACATACCCTGAAAAAAATCAAAGAGAGCTTGACATTTACAGGACTCTGTCATAAGTTCGCCCTGGGCCGTTAAACAGCAGTTTGGGTTCTAAAAAAATGAAATGGGACCAAAAAATCACTGATTTTTTTTTTTTTAAATAGAGTTCGAAAATGAAAACTTATGTTTTGAACTTTGTGTGGCCATGTGTGCGTATCTTAGACATGCCTCAACCAATCACAATCAAACTTCACACATACATCATACATAATATTATACATATGCACATTAATTTGTTTCACGATCTGATTCAAAATGGCCGAATAGTGGCCATTTTTGTGCTAAAAAACATCAAAATCAAGCATTTATGGATGGATTTTTTAAACTGGGTACATACGTTGGACATTATGGGACCTTGATGCACATTATTTTATTTTTCAGATCCAATTTAAAATGGCCAACTGGCGGCTATTTTGTTTTAATGAATGCAGTTCTAGTGCCATATTTCTGCCATGCTTTGACTTTTTCAAAATGGCCGACTAGTGACCAATTTGTTTTAATTAATGCTGTTCCAGAGCAATATTTCTCAATATGGACAAGTACTTGGTTGACGATCAGATACCAGATGTCAATCATTTTAATGTTAAAAAATCATCTTAATCAAGCATCATCTTCTGGATCCATACTTCTTACATGTATATGTTCCAACTATATTACTATAAACAAAAATATATCTTAAATTTGATAACTAATGGGGACTGTGCCATGCATGGCTTGGTAATACTATTTTCAGTTGGCTATTCTACATGTCATTGGTGTCATGTGATGGAAAGAGAGTCCTTCCAGAATCCAGACATTGGAAGTCTTATGAACCAAAAGTTTGTTTGCATTAAAGTGGATCGAGAAGAAAGACCAGATGTTGATAAAGTTTATATGGCTTTTATTCAGGTTTGACAAAATTAACATATTTTTTTTTCCCAACAGAAAAAGTACTTGCACAGTACTTGCACTATCATTTATTTTTTTATGTTTTGAACACACTATTTCACTTCAAAGGCAAATCATGAATTCTTTTTTATTAACTCTGCTATCAATGAAGATCCAAGTGCTTGACAAGTGCCAACTAACACATTTAAGTTTTTGGTTTCTGTTGCCCTGAAATGGACATTTGTAAAAAAAAAAAAAAAAAAAAAAAAAAAAATACGTAATGAATCATATTTAAGTAAAATTGAAAAAAGGTTGCCAACTGTGTTTTGTGAATTGATCTGGGGTCAAAGTGCAGGGCGTCTTCAGATGACTTGTATGTTCAGCATAACAAAACATTTTAAATACTTTGGGCTTGCACCATAAATAATCTTAAAAATATAAACTTAAAAATATAAACACATAATTCAATTTGAAGCCAATGAAGACGTTTTTGAATTGATGGATGTGGTCATTTTCTTCAGAAAGAGTGACAAGATGAGCAGCTTTGTTTGTACAGATTGAAATATATTCAATTGATGCTGTAGTACTGTATAAGCTCTTATAAGTCATTTTGTTTTTTTTGAAAATGTGGTATTTTGACAAAGTCTGAAAAGTCTTGTGTGTGTGTGTCCAAGTGTCTTTTCCAGTATCTCAACCACTCCTGATCTGATCAGATTCAAACTTTACAAATCTACATGTTCATTAGTTACATGATTTGATTCAAGATGACTGAATGGTGGTCATATTTTATTTGGATGGATTTTGTTCTAACTTGGTACATACATTGGACATTCTCTAACCAACATTTGCACCATTTCATATCAGCTATGTTTACTATTTCATGAGGGGAAAATTGTCATGTTTATTTTTCCTTCCCTCTACACAGGCAACTCAAGGTAGTGGTGGTTGGCCAATGAGCGTGTGGCTAACACCAGATTTGAAACCAGTAGTTGGTGGAACATACTTCCCACCAGCTGATAAATATGGTAGACCAGGATTCCCTACAATACTGTGTCGCATTGCAAACATGGTAAGATGATCCTTTTCACCGTAAGTTTTGTCAACGGATTGCGCAATAACTGCTTGTTTTTGTCTCTTCAATCTTGGGTTGGTGTTGATTTTTTAAATTGACACTGCAATCAGATAAAATATGCAAATAAAAATATGTTGAGAGAAAATAATGGTAAAATGATTGAAAGCTTTATACATGTCTGTTCTTCATGCAGCTAAAATTAGCAATCTTGCACTAAACAAATGTATTTTGCTAATTTAAAAAGTTTGACGAAGTCCGCAAAAAACAGGAACTACTAATTTGGGCTCCATCCGTGTGTCAGTCCAGAGCCATTTCTCATACACCCTTTAACCGATCTTGTTCAAACTTGGCATATAGACAATGTATGATGACCTACATATGCATGCCAATTTTCGTTATGATTTGATTAAATATGGCTGACTGACAGCCATTTTGTCCCTCAAATTTGCTGATATTTAAACGTGTCCAGAACTGTTTCTCAGAGCTGAACAGGGTGATTTCACCCAAACTTTGTATGGTGATCATGCATATTGGGTTATAGGTGCATGTCACTGTTTTTTCGTGATTCGATCCAAGACGGCTGAACGGTCTCCATTTTGTTTTTTCCATTTTCGTGCTGGTTCCTCCATAAGATATGGCCTGATTCAGTTCAAAGTTTGTACATACATGTAGGTACTATACTTAACTGCAACCCTTTTGCAGAGTGCATTAATCAACATTCGGCGAGTCGCACAATCGCGCCACAGAGTTAGTTTTTAGACCCCTTTACATACTTCAATATTCCCCACTATTTTTTTTACTTCCTAAGTGGAAAGAGAAAGAAGAGCAGATGTTATCACAAGGTACAATGATAATAGATGCATTAATGCAGAATACAACAGTAAAGAAAACTACAGAACAAAACATACCTGGGTTAGAGTGCGTCCACAGGTGTTATAACCAGATGGAAAATGGATATGATGAACAGTGGGGTGGATTTGGTCAAGCCCCCAAGTTTCCACAGCCAGGTGTGTTAATTGGTTTTTAATTGACTCCTGTGTGCGAAGCACAAAAAGGGAGTCTTTCCAGTTAGTGAGTCTGTTTGTGTGTGTGTCTGTTCCACTGATATCTCAAGAACCATACATTGATTTTTGATGAAACTTAGTGCATAGATGCTCTGAGCCATTGTGCAGATTTAAATAGGTTTTGGTTAAAATCCATGCATATTAATTACCTAATTTGCATGATAATTAGCTGATTTTTATCTGTTCCATGACTGTTCCACTGATATCTGAAAAACCATTCATTGGATTTTGATGAAACTTGGCACATATATGCTCCAAACTAATTCACAGATTTGATTTGGGGTAAAAATATGTGCAATATTAATTACCTAATTTGCATAATGATTAATCAATTTTCGGCTTTTCCACTGATATCTCAAGTACTAATCATCATATTTCAATAAAACTTGGTACATAGATGTCATAGCACACTGCACAAACCTGATAGTTTTTAGGGTAATATCAGTACATATTAATTACCTAATTTGCATAATTAATTAATTTTCAGCTTTTGATATTTCAAGTAGTAATCATCACCATTATAACTACGCCGACGATATACTACTCGGTACTTACCCCGTAAATTTGGGGTACGTTTATCTCTTAATCCCCACCATAGGTGTGAAAAAGTTGTGTTGGGTTGGGCACTGAACAAATAACCACTGATAGCATAGTTCGGGACTTTATCAAATTACGTAACTTTTGTCCACCCAAGTGTCTGTCTTCTGCTCTAAGTATCCAATGAAATATATTTCGAGATTGTTTCATTACTTTTGCAAGCAATTCAAATATTACAAGGTTTAATCATGAACGAAATACTTGCCAATCTTTTGATTTGACACAAAAAACAGAAACAGGGAGATATTCTTGTTCTTGCTTACGCATAGTAACGTGTCACGGCATCGGG